GTTAACGGACATCGACCAGAAATTGTTAAAGGAACACCAAAATTGTGGGTAAAGTTAATGGAGCTTTGTTGGAACGCGGACGTTTTCAAAAGGCCTACTGCTAAACAAATGCATGGAATTTTAGATAAACTAAACGATATTGTTCATTTTAGAGAGGCAAGAGAGGATATATTAAAAGAAAACTTAGAGTTAAGAGACCTTTGTGGATACTCATCTCTTGATGAATTTGCGGATGATGTATGGGAATTTAAACTCAAAATGTTTGATATAAGCTGTCGAGAAGCAAATCATCAAAAGGAAATGCACCCAAAGGCGATATATACAAGTCAACTAATATCTGATATTACAAAGAACGTTCAATGGGAATCAAATAAATCAGTTCAAGGTATCGTATATTTTATAATTAACATTGTGTTTTTTACAATATTTATTTCATCTAAATTTAATCCCTGCTTTACAGATGGTAAATTTGAGTCCGTTCAAAAAAAGCTCGAAATAAATTTCTAGAACTTTTTTTTTGAAATTGAACCGTATTAAGACTATGTTTTAAGACAGAATCTCAGACATGTCTTTTATAAACTGATTAGCATACTGTATTGAGATAATCAAAACATTTATATAAGTATGTTATATGGTTATTAAAAAATTAATATCTATTTATTAAATATTTAAATAATGGTTATTTGTAGCTATTAAAATAATTTATATGTTTAAAGTTGCAAGCATTTTCACATCTGTATAAAGATAAAGTTTTGATATCAGCTTATAATTATTCCATTTATACAATTTTCAAATACATATAATTAATATCAAATTTAAATGATTTTGCCGTTATAAAAAAATAAATAAATGAAAAGATAAGTTGTGAATTAATTTCGAATTACAGTATATACTATATAATAATAACTGTAAATTATTTGTATTATTAAAGGTACATACAGTGGCTTTGTTAATCAATTTTGTTCTTATTTATTATTGGCATAATTTAGCTTAAATTAATGGCAAATTGTTAACTATTTAAAATTTTTTAGCATAAAAATTTTTTATGAATCATATATATACAGTATATATTTGAATAAAAAAACAAAATAATTTATTTTATTTTAACAAACTGTAACTTATTTAATTAATGAAAATTATAATAAACCTTTATAAGTTTATTTTTGATTAATTCAATGTTTTTCAATTAATTAATATTTATTTTAATTAAATTTTTTAAATGCATTTATTTTAAAAAATAAAATTACCATAAAATATATTTAAATTTTTTAACTTTAATTAAATTTTATAAAAAACAAAAAATAATTTTTATAAAAATTAAGTTACTTCAAAATATAATTTAATATTATTTTTTTTTTTATTCTCATTTTTATTTTTATTTTTTTTTTAGTAATACTATTTTATTAATTATATTTTTATATAATTAATAAAGAAATTGTATTAAAAAAAATAAATTAATAAATTAACAAAAAGAAGGTTTTTATTAAAATTATTTCATAAAAAAACATTATATTTTTACTTATTAATTGTTATTTAGATTTGAGCAAAAAAATTTTTTTAATTTTTTCTTATAATAAATAATAGATTTTTTGAAGAAACCAATTGATAATAAATTAATTAATAATTTAATCAAAAAATTAATTAATTAGAAATATGATTTTTAGATAATTATAAACTTGAAATTTATATTAATAATTATAATAATTATAAAATTTTTTTTTATATTTAATTTATATTTGTATTAAATTTTTAAT